TCTAGTTATGACTGAGACAAAGTGTGGGGGTATGTAATGGGAGTGTAGTGTACAGCGGGGGATGGGAGTATTGGGATCAGCGCTAGCATGAAGTGGGGATGTTCAGGGATTGTGAGTGCGGTGTTGGGAGAGCTGATGCGCGGGAGTGGTGTTTAGACCAGTAATGTAGAGAATGGGTGGACATGGTAGAGAGTGTGGTGGTGTGACATAGAGGCAAGGAAATTGAAGGGTACAAAGGCGTGAAGTGAGTGCGGGGGCCAGGGATGAGGGCGAGGGGTGTGTGGAAGCAAGGAATGAGTGCGGGGCGAGGAAAGAGGGCGGGCGCGAGGAAAGAGGGCGGGGGCGAGGAAAGAGTGCGGGGGCGAGGAATGCGTGGGGAGACTCGTGGAAGGAGTTTGGGGCAGGGAGTAAATGTGTAGCGGGAAGTGTGAGATGTGAAGTGTGGGGCCGGAAGAGAGTGTGGGGCAAGATGCGAATGTGGGGCAAGATGCGAGTGTGGGGCAAGATGCGAGTGTGGGCTGATATGAGAGTTTGTGCTGAAAAGTGAGTGTGGGCCAAGGAGAGAGTGTTGAGCAGTTTGTAAATGTGGGGTGAGAAGTGAGTGTATGGGGATGGTGAGTGAATGTAATTAAGTGAGGTGTATGGGGGTAAGAGTAAGAGTGTTCAGGAGTGTGGGAGTGGTGTGGGGGCAGATGGAGTTTGTGAATTGTGGGAAAAATGAATAAGGAGCACGGAGTGTGGTGTGGTGTGGTGAGTATGGATATGTACAGTATGCATGACTGCAATATGCAAGTGAGATTATGTGTGTATTCACGCACACACACACACACACACACAAGGGGTCTTAAGAAGATAATCTAGGATTAAAAAAATTATATTCATTTAAGAAAATAGAAACTGTTCAAGAAATTGCCCACTGAATGTTTTTGCAAAATTGTTAAATTGTGCTTCCAAAATTAGTTTCTTCAAATACTGTTGTTTCAAAATATGCCACTACTTAACAGTTAATAAGGTAAGTTTAATAATATTTTATCCCTTTAAACCAGATACATTAAAATTTGAAATTACTCTCTAAATTACATTTGTATTTAGAAGTCATTGCAGTATTGTTTGGATTTCATAATTCACTTTGCCTGTCAACAGTCCTCCCAAATTCTTGGTGTTGTGGTATCTGAGAATAATTTCTAGTTTTAAAGGCAAAGGAAGTGCATGGTACAGAATTGAAACAAAGTGATGGGCCAAGATGTTCCAGGTTTCTGAACTCTAGGAAACTGGCAGCTCTGATAGCTGAGGGTACTATTGCTAGGACAAAAACATCTGTAAAATTAGCAGATTGTTTCTTCACAATGATTTTTAATGGAATACAGCCTGGACCAGATCCTCATCCAGATCCAGTCTCCAGAGACTTAAACACTTCTAATTACGGCCAAGTACAAGTTTTTTTTAGGCAGCTTATTTTCTTGTGTATATTCATCTGTTTGTAGTTACATTCTGTCCACATACTTGCACTCACTTCATATATACACACACACACACACACACACACACACACACATTTTCAGCCTATTACTGCCTGAACTTTATCAGTTGTCTGTTCATTAGAAACTAAAAAGGAAAATAGCAATCTTTCTTAATATATGAAAGCTATGACTGGGAATAAATATTAAGCAAATGAGAATTTTTAAAATGAAAATTAAAAATAAAAAAAATATTTAAAAATTTAACTATTTGGTTGAGAACAGTAGTTAATTAGTTTACAAATGAAGTTTAATTCAAAAATTACTGATGTTATAATTAAACAAACAAAATTGATGTTACTACTAAATCTGTCACAAACTATCTCGGCATACACAAAATTTGAAGCTATTCTCAATAAACATACCCTGCATAAAATCCAATCATTACTCCAGGACCTAAACTAGACAAAACAGTTTACCACAAAGGTTATATATTTAATTAGACAAAGGTTATATGTCTTAAATATGAAAATACAAACATTTTCATGCATTTGTACACAAAAAAAAAAAAATCAGTGTTGCACTAACATTTTCCCGTGTTAACTCAATAAGTTAGTTCCTTGAACTTAAAATATGTCCATTATTAATTTTCTCAAAACACCCTCACTCTAATATTACCCAAGATAAAAACTAAAACCAGCAGCTTCTTATGAAGAGCTCTTCATAAGAAGTTAACAATATATAATGATGCAGAGTAACATGTCATAAAACTACCTACAATTAGTACGGTAGGCACCAGACAACACCGCAATTTTTCACGCAATCTATTCAAAATTTGGTTTACAATAAATTGTGTAAAAACTTGTTAACATGAACACCTAAATGTTACACATTCATACGACATAATAGAAAAAACATTTCATTTCACTAACTTGCATTTTGTAAAGTTCACATGAAGGATACACTTATACATTTTCTTTATGAAAACGCTATACAAAATATTATATATTTTTTATAGATTTTGTTATATATATATATAATATATATATATATATATATATATTATATATATATAGTATATTATATTATATATATATATATATATATAACACACACACACACACATAATAACGTATTAATAAAACAAGTACACAGACACTTACAGGCCGCCTCCTTATTGGCCTTGCTATTCCCATATCATCCTCACTACTAGCACTACTCTCAGATGAGGATTCACTTTCAATAATCTGGAAAAAAAAGAAGAAAAAGAAAGAAAAAAAAATAATTGATGAAAAACACCACTCAAATGAAACTAAAATGCTCTTTGCAAATAATATCAACTGGAAATTCCAGCAAATGAAAATATTAACAGGCATAACTAATATAGTCATGACTCTTCCTACATATTCCTTTATTAAACTTTGACAGTAACAGAATTATTTCTCCTCTGTTGCACATCAATTTTATATAATTGCTTTGCAAATCCTTAAAGTTGTCAAAAATGGATTTTTCAATGAATTTCTTGATGCTAATTATGTTACTTCCTCAAAATATTAAATCAAAAGAATTTTTTATGTATAATATTTGTGATTTTGTTTTTGAATTTAACAAAGTTTTAAAGGAACATCATTAGCACCCTCTCAAGCTAATACGCCATGTGTTGCAGATTACCCAAATATATCATATCGCCAATAGTTGTTAAAATTTAAAAATTAGTCAATTTATGTAATAGCTAATGATAAATTTAATTCTCACAAATAAAAAAGTATTTTAATAATAAAATATTACACACTTTGTAACACAAATACATTGAAAATGTGTAAAATTTAATGAATTAATTACTTCAAATAACAATCTAACCATTGGTACATCACACACCGATTTTGCTAAGCAATCCAAATTGTAACTGAAGTTATTCATACTCAAGAACACACCAGAAATAGCATAATTCAGCATTAGCAACAGAAATAAGCAGCAAAAGTAGTTCAATGCAGAATCATAAGGGATCAATACTTATTTTTATATTATATAAGATTCCACATTATTCAGTGTAATACTGTAGAATTTACATTTGTCAGAATCATTATGTCCACATTCGACAGATTTCTGCATTATACATGTTCCACATAGAGCAAATTTGACTGCACTTTCATGTAATCATAAGAGTCATTTACCAAAAAAGATGTGTCTGTACTTCACCCTTGTGCAGTTGTAACAAGCTATTCATGATACTTTATGCTTAATACCTGAGCTCTCTACCCATCTTACATTTGTAAATCTTTATCCACTGAACCAAAGAATGCACGTATTTCAAATCTCAAAACATGAACTTTCCTGCATTTCAATAAGTATTTTACAATATATGATAATATATGAATAAGTTATACATGGAATAATCTTGTTCGTTTTAAAGAATCTTACAAGCATTATTTAATCTTCAGAAAATAGACTTAATGTTCCTCAATATCAAATATATTGTTAATACTTGTCGAACAATTGTTTAAGATGTATATGAATAATTACGCTTTAAAACCATCATTTACATAGTCATACTTTCCAAAGACAAGGATGTCTCTTAACTACTTTTCCTTTAATTAGTTAACGCTGCTTCAATATTTTGGGAAGGCATATTTAAGCTTAATAATTTTTATAAATATACCTATTTTAAGGTTTACAATATTACAGTTTTCAAAATCTCAATATTGTTAATTAGTTAATGTAGTTAACATTACTTAATATTAGTCAATATAGTTAATTTAAAATATTTAATTAAGAACTGAAGTTCAATATAATTGGCGAACAATAAAAACTGAAGGATCTTTAGTTGAAGATTGCCTGTGACTAATGTCATGTTCCCATGGTATGCACCATGAATTTGTGACTAGACAAGCAAACTGTCAACATGCAAAACAGAAGTTCTGCAATCTAGTCTTAACAATGGCCAATGGTTGAGTAACATTATCCTAACACAGTTTGAATAACAAAGTTCAATACTTCATAACTGAACCACTTTTCTTTTGAGAGTCTTTCCAAAGGCTGAGCCAAAGATTCAAATGAAACCAATTCAGAGACAATATCATGACACTATTGTATATTTCTACATATTTTCCAATATTATTTTACTCACATTCATCTTCTTTTTTTTGATAACTACTTCCCCAGCACCATCACTTTCACTGCCTGATGAAGATTCCAGGTGAAGAGCGGGTCTTTTCCCTCTGCGAGGAGCTCTCACGCATTCATCATCACTCATTATGGGCCACTATAATAAATACTCTTTTTTTTAAACCACTCTCAATACATTATTTCTTAGGCGACCTGTAAGCCGCCTCTGGCTTTCTTCGCACATCAAAAAACACGACTACCGGAAAGAAAAAGAAATAATGTTCAATTGTCAGAGTACTCAAAATCAAACGCAGTTGCAAAACCGCGATATCCCGTCACTCAGTTTATTTGTAATATGATCGCAAGTAGCTGCACAAAGACAACTTTACAGAATCTCGCGAGATTATATGCCTTGCATAACGCCATGCAACAGTTAAATTTTCCATATAACACATTTTCGTCAATTACCCCACGAACTTGCAGCAAAACATGACAAGAAAGCCAACGATTTGTGACAAAATTGGAACAGAGTTCAAGTTTCTACAAAACAACAATTACCTCCAAAATCCATAAAACAAAAAAACACTACACTATGGTGGATTATTTCTAATATCTAAGCACAAAAGCTATTTAAATAGCCAACACTTAGATAATTCTTTCCCGATATTGATACGCTCTCCGGTAGCCATTTTTCATTGCGTACCGCAAACGGGTTATTTCAATATTCCGTATAGTGAAGTCTGTTAACTTACAGACCGAATTTAACACTTCCTAATGCGAATAAACATAATTCACCGAGATATATTTTTTAAGAACAATGAAACTATAAATAATACTAATCAAGTCGACATACTATGCATAATAATTGAAATGTTAAATTATCTCTGAAACAAACGCAACCATCAGCGTGATCAACATACTTCAAGAACGCGCTATCCCCTCACCATTCAATTCTTTGCGAATCGAGATCAACACGAAGAGATCAGAAGAGACGACGGCGATCAGATTGTGTATACCGAGAGTACTGAAAGCGATGTATCAGGTGTAAAATGTAAATTTCGAAATTTCCTAACAATATTATAAATTTATGTGGTATGTAATCTCCATATATGCCTAGTGAATGCCCCAGTTATTAGACAATAATTCATGGACGTAAATAAACGAGAGGCTCCTCAGTTTTCACTTGGGCAAATGAATATATTTTAAGTAAATTTAAATCGGACAGGAAGCTGTCTCCTTAATTAATTTCGCATCCAAAACTTAGAATACTGCTAGGTTCTTCAAAGTGTTGCGAGCTCACTTTCGTTAAAACTCCTCTTTATTGAAAATATCACTGTCTGAGTTTAGCTTAGAAACGGCAATGCTGCGCTGTTTGCGACAACTCAGACTGGGAGGTCCTATTGTTCGAGTCCCGACTATGGCAGGATTTTCGACGCTAGCTTGATATTACTAGGTCGGCTATAGCTAAGTCGAATGCAGCCATTATCTGGCAAAGGATTATTGCGGCCGAGAACTTTGACAGATAGTTTTCCGTGATTTTTCCCATCAACATCAGGCGAATGCCGGAACACGGCAACGGACGGAACGGGCAACGGACAACGCGCGATTTTTCCTTCCTATTCCTTGCCCTATCCTTACCTCGGGGAAACCCCGGAAGCCGACGTGTAGGTCGACGCCGAATCTATCCAGCGAGACAAGACCGCCACCTCTTACATGCACGGTGAAAAAATCTTGCACAAGATAGTACTACTCTTAGAGACTAATGACCTTATCAGTTGTCGTGCCCGGGAAAACGAAATAATCAATGACACTCACGCGATCGTTTCTTCCACCTTCCTCCACATCCACTTGTCATCTATTACTTGAATACATGGCATGTCCCACTACACTCACTTGTCAAGCAATACACCCCCCACCATGGCCATCCTTTACTAGTAGGCGATGGCCGAGCCCTCACACATATCGCCTTGTCCCAGCCCATAGAGCTTGTCCCAGCTACGGCAATGACAGGTGAGAGATAGCTTTCGTCTCGAAGTGTGACTGCATTGGGATAAGTTTGCCGAGCTCTTATAGTTCCGTGTGCGGACAATACAGGACACAGGATAAATTGAAAGGAGCCGCGGCAGCAATTGTAGGGTGTGATTTGCGCGCGAATTTCAAAACTGACATTTTCATTACCTTTGTTTTAGAGGATTGTAAGAGAAACAGTAGGCAGTAAACAAAGTATAAGGGCATAAGACTAACGTTTCCTTTGTCACGATCATTTTCCTATAAATACAGATCAGGAACATTTTCTCAATAAAGGTTAACAATACGCCCAAATTAATTTTTACTTTCTCGATTACGCAGTACAGAAGAAAAAAACTGCAATGCCGCGACAGAAAACGGCGGTTTTCAACTTACAAAATCCTGAGAGTAGGTAAATCTTATTCTTATTACTAGTAAATTTCTTCCTCTAACATGTCGTTTAATCAGAATCTGTATTTTGTGGGGAAACCAAAAAGTTTACGGCAAAGCGTCTGGCCGTCGATCCGTCCGTCTCTCCGTCCGTTTCCCCCTCCATCTTCCCGTCATCTCCCCGTCCGTCTGCCCATCATTCCACGGTTCGACCGACTGTAAATTACCCTAGCAGGTACACCGTAAGCAAGACTCACCAAAATGAATATTTCCAGAACGATTTGACTGATGTCGCGGCCCCTTGAATTTGAAACGGATATAACATGAAGCCATTTCAATTTTTTTCAAAAATAGCTCCTATCTTCCTCCTTGGATAAAGGAAAAGTCGGTTAATGAAATGGTGCAGACCGCATTTTTGTTGCCCTCCAAATTCCTGAAAATTGCAAAAATTCAATTTTGTTTTCGGCGTCTTTCTACAACTACAATATTGAAGATTTTCCGTAACAAAAACGTGTTCATCAAACCAAAAAAAAAAAAAAAAATTGAGTGAAAAGTGGGGGACATTAAAAGTGAAAAGTGGGGGACATCTTAAACAAGATTTTCTCAAAAACAGCTCTATTTTGATATCTTCTGGGAATGAGGGTGCTAAATGAACAGCATAAGATGTCATAAACGCCATTTTTCTGTATTCGATTGTTTTTTTCAAAGATTTCACTATTGTAATTTTTGACATTTCTCTCGTCATCAATACTTACAATACGTACGATTACCCTATATTATTTCATTTGCGAGAACACGTTCATCAAATGATGAAACAAAGAGTTTCTCGAAAACTCAATTTTTTGTGAAATGAAGCTTTAAATTCCGCATTATCAAAAAATGCTCAATCGCCACTTTCTCGTAAACGGCTCCATATTTTTCTTTATTTTTTGTACCCTTAGTGCTAAATGCACAAAATAAAATGACATAAATTCCACTTTTATGCATTCTTTTGATTTTTTCAAATATCACAGAAACATATTTTTTCTGAAATAACCCTCACTTCATTAATATTAATAATTCGAGAATTTATTATACATTATCTGATTTGTGAGTACAATGGATTTAAATAATTTCTAATGAAGTTTCTCAATAAAAAGTTTTGGGCAAAATGAGTTCCAAAAAAACGCTCCAAATTTCGCAATGAAAATGGACCAGATTTTACCCTTCTAAAAATTATTAAAATAATATTTCAATTCTATCATTACATAACCGGAAAATTCAGAAAAAGTGGGAAAATGTGTTTTAGGCACCAGTAGATGGCAGGTGAGAAGAGGGTTGGGTAAAACTGAAAAAAATAGCTCAAACTGAAGAAATAAGGAAACTCGCTTGAGAAAGTATGTGCCATTCTGTAGTACTATTAGTTTACTTTCTCGTCATACTTCATACTTACGAGTATAAAGAGACTAAGTATTGTAATAGTGTGGAAAAATTAGGCAATTTTTCGACAGAAAAACGTGATTGTGGAGACAGTATCGAAAAAGTGGATTAATCTTGTTCCTAAATGTAGTAAATCACTTCCACTAACACTATGTAGTCAGGATCCACATTTGGTGGGTCTCAGAAGTTTTCTCAAAATGTCTAAAAATGTTCTGGCTAAACTTTCTCCGCAAATAGGGCAAAGAACGCTTAATTTTTTTTAAATTTATTAATTATTTAGTTTTCGTTGAAGTCTCTGAATATTTAAAAGTTGCAAAAGTTCATTTTTTAGCGGGAGTATCTTTCTACATGTTGTATATGCATCCTAAATTTATTCCTCTTTTGCTGTTGGTGATTTGGCGCTTATCTGTTAGTAGCATGCTCGCTGGCGCAGTCTGCCATTATCTTGCTGCAACGAGCATGCCGGTCTCTCGCCGTCAATCGTAGCGGACGAACGTTCTCCCCGATGTGTTCCCGAGTGACCGTTAATAAGTTGTCGCGCGTTCTTACCTATTATGTATTGTGAATACAATAAACGTTTTATACTTTAACTTTTATGAATGAATTATTTATCATCCCCAAGAACATAACAATGGTGTCAGAAATGGAATAGATAAATAATATTCGCTCTGTGTGAAAAAGTGTGAAACGTGACCTGTATGTGACCACGTTCCGTATCAGTTACGATCCAAACGGCACCACGTGGCGTTCATAGCCTCAACTCGATCACGTGTCGAACAGTGCCCCAATGTGCCGTACCGCTTACGACCCTAACGCGACTACGCGCGCGACTCACGAACACCACGCGGTTTAGAGAAGCGGCACACCGCCCCTCCTAGATATGGCTCAAAACGTATCGCCGGACCTTCTACAGCCAATATCTGAGATGATCGCCAGTGCTATCCGACAGTCTACAGCGTTGACCCAAAACAACGCATCGACGGCAGCGGCACCGGCACAGCCTCGTTCTCCAGTTTTCCACGTTAGCATATCGCGCTGCCGACGGAATAACCATAGCAGACTATTTTTCACGGTTCACCTGGGCACTGGAGCTGAGCCGAGTTTCCGAAAATGAACACGCACAGTACGCACGTGTTTATATGGAACCTGAACTCAACGACTCTCTCAAGATCTTCGTAAGCCCAGAGAACCCAGAAAATCTACCTTACAGTGAGATACAGTCGAAATTGACGGAGCATTTCGACGCCACGCACCCTAAACACGCTAAAGCATAAAGGTTCGAAGCACAATGCAAAGGAGTGGAGAGTCAATAGCCAACTTCACTCTTAGATTAAGACGAGCAGCAATTTATTGTGAGTATAGCACATTTTTAGACCGAATGCTAATTGAACAGTTGATTAAAGGACTGGAATCGAGGGATATGTGTGATGAATTCATCGCTAAGAAATCAGAGAGCTTCACCGCTGCCTGCGAGGTTGCCCACGTACTCGAAGCCACGCGTAACAACGCAAACGAAGTCAAAGCTGACGACATAACCTTAAAACCCAATTCGACTCATCGGGTAAGTTATGAGAAGCCACCGTTGCGGAGCACCAACTAACGGCCTCCGAGTTTGTCAGCAAGCCGGCGACAGAGCGGCAACCAATCACGGCCACAACAAAGGTTTCATCAACCAAATCAGACAACATCAGAGAAGCAGCCAACGTGCGCGGAATGTGGTGATCACGTCCGCAGTCAATACCGGTTTTTGATGCTGAATCTCGGAAATGTGGTAAGAAAGGACACATTGCCAAAGTTTGCTGATACAAACCGAGACAATGTAGGACTAATCAGGTAACAGAAGAGGCTGCAGAAGAATTACCAGCCGATGACAATTGATCGACGTCAGTATAGAGGGAACCACCGAGATAGATTAAGATAGAACTTGACACCGGCGCCCCCTGTTCGTTCATGAGCAAATCGAAGTTAAGCCTAATTAAATCAAACTTTACGCTGCAAAAAACTGATCGCCTCTTCGCCAGTTACACCGGCCACCGCATCAACTGCATCGCAAGGCGTTAGTCACCGCCACCATCGGGACCACATCCAGGAACCTTAACCTCTATGTTGTTGACGCTGAATTTGAAACGCT